CTAAAATCCACCTTGCTTGTCATGAAATTCTAATGAGCAATGCAGTTTGATCTTATCGTTAGTGTGTGACGTCAGCTAAGCCGTCATTATGGACCTAAGTGACCTTATTTAAAAAAAAAGTCTTAAAAAATAATTTGTAATCCTTTTAGGATGAAAGGTTTAAAAACTGCAATATTTTTGTCCTAAAGCTTTTTAGTACAAACACTTTCGTTCGACAATAAGAAGAAAATTCTGACAGAAGGTAGCCGTAAGGTTGCATGCTTTTTGGGATATATACTAGTGTAAAAAGTGCGCTTTTTTTTTTCTCTAAGAATAGTGATTGATTACCATGCAAACACCAATAGTTTGAATAGTTTGTCACTAGGAAAAATAAAAAGTCAGCCGAAATCTATTTTTCTTCGTTAAAATGAAGTTTTTAGGTGCTCAACTCCTTAAGCGATAATGTCTCTTAATATGCTTGAGAACACCGAAGTCAAGCATTACTGGCTACGGTCAGTGTGAGGGTGGGTAACCACTTGGATCAGTCTGCGTAGGGACCGAAGATGTGCGGTATGGGTCCTCGTTAAACTGTTCTACCGTAAAGTGCTCGACTTCGCGTAGGTCATTGGGCTACCGAAGCGGGGATGCCATACCCTCATCAGAGGATCAAAATTGGGATGGCATGTCTTCGGATCATCCTCAGGGATGTTTCCCAGACCGTCGCCAATAGCCCGTTGTGCAGCTCCAGTGTGACGTAAATGAACTACAACAACAACAACTAAATCTGGTTGACAACTAACTCTGTTTAGTATTCATAGTTAATTAAAGTAATAATTGAAAGTGTTTGGAATCATACGACAGCAACTTTTAAACTGGTTATGTCTGATGTGCATTGAAAGATGTTTAAATATTGATATTATAATAACTGACTTTTTAATAGTTTGACGAAACAATTCATACGTTTTGAATTTTTTAAATTGCTATACCCTAGCCGCAATGGCTCAGGTGATAGAGTGTTCGCCTTCCAATGAGGTGAACCGGGTTCGAATTCAAGGATGGCTGGTCGATACGAGTCTGCATCCGGCTTGCACAGACCACAGGGCTGACGTGAAATATCCTCAGTGGCAGACGGATCGTGGGTTAGAGTCCCTTTGCCGTCAGACTAACCGTGGGAGGCTCTCGTGGTCTTCATCTCCATGTAATGTAAATACGGGTTAGTTCCACTGAAAAAGTACTCGACGAATGCAAAATTTCTCCCGATACTTGATACAAGAGCTTCTTTGTTTTCTATATTGAGTTCAAAAGTAAAAGGCTACAGACTTGAACATTAGAAGTCGTAAACCCAAAAATTGGGTCGGTTGTTCAATGACGGTTATAATAAAAAGGAAATAACTGTTTAACCCTTGGCCGGGATAGCCTGGTTTGTAGGGCACTGAGCCCATGTACGTGGGTTTGATCTCTGCCAGCGAAAACTCCCCGTGTAGTAAATGGTGACTGATGCACGTTAAGTCTGTCGAGTCACAAAGTCCTCCATGTTCCCATAACAAGTCATACCTCTGGGGGTACTGATCCAGGAGTTTCCTTGTCTTCTGGATTGGTTCAAAATTACAAGGCTGCGGAATTGAACATTGGTAGACGTAAACCCATGAAATTGGGTCGGCTGTTCAACGACGGTTATAAAATAAAATANATCAAGTTCTCCATCATTCAACCTTTTGGCCATAAGGCTTGAGGCAGCAATGCTATGATGGAGATTGATTTGACCAACCTTGATTGTAGCCATTGGTTAGCAGTATGAATGAAACCAGAATGGCTCCTATCCTGGTTATTTTTTGGAAGAAAGATCTTCCTTTATCAGCTCCATTGCTTCATCAATACCAAGCATGGAAACTGGTGAGTCAGGTTGTAATGTTACGTCTGACCCAGAGTCCAACCCAAGCTCTGAAAAATCAAGAGCCCCAATTGAACTTACCTTGGAATCAGGGGAATTTGCCGGCCAAGGTTCCTCCTCCTGTTCCATGTCCTCTTGGACATCAGGTTCTACAGGGAGGTCCGATGTTGTTGGAGCCTCAACTGCTTTTTTCCTGTTAGGATCGTGGATAATTTTAAAAACTCCACGATCCACTCCAGTCAGTGCGCAAAAGTTAGCCCTTGCAATTGCTTCAGCGTCTTCAGGCTCCACCTCAAAGATCCATCTAGAGGTGCCAGGTCCCACAGCACTTTGCAGAACCCTCCACCCCATCGACTTCAACCCTGGGTTTAGTCTCTGAAGACGCCATAAAAAGGTGCTCTGTTCAGAGAATTGCTCCTTAGTTTTAAAGGCAACCTTCACGGACTTGGGAAGCTCGTTTGCCCCTATGACCTTGAGCTTAAGGTTACCCAAGGCTTTGTTGTTAAAGTGGTCTTTGATCCACCCAACAGTAAAATCATTGCATTGAATTACCAGCGCTCCTCTTTGGAGGTGGTTCCTATAAATCTCGGGCAGTCTTTCGCCACCAGGAGTGGCGTCAGTCCGCTCCAAGATTTCCTTCAAGATGTTATTTGAGTTTTCCAGAGAAAGCTTGTCCGGAGGAAAATCCTCCAGGACTATAGCAATCTTGGTAGACCCAGTTGCACAGGCAAAAGAGACCCCAGATTGGAGGCCCCCGGTTGGATCCCCCTCTCCAGCTCGGCTATCCCCACTAGGGGGAACCACTCCGCTGGATTGAGCTTTCCTCCCAGGAACAACATCCTCCCTGGGCTTCTTTCCGGTTTGGGTTGGCGCATTGGGAGAGGGTGTTGCATCAGAAGACCTAGGTCTCTTAGCTCCTCCACTCGCCGCAATGGCCCTCATTTTCCTTAACTTCTTCTTTCGGCTCTTGGACAGTCCAATGGTACCAGACACACTGTCTCCCTCTCTCTGGTGACCAGAGACTCCTACAGAGGAAGGGCCTGAACCTTTGGACGCCTCACCAGCATCCGAAGCAGACTGCAAAGCAGCGGTATTAGCACTGGGCTCACCCGAGGGCTTACCATATGCTACTGGAGACTGTATAAGACTTTTCGAACAGGAACCTCTGACTAATTCCTGAACGCATCCCTTGTTAACCGGCGCGATGGATGATGCCGTATCCAAGGATTTTCGTTCACTCTTCATGATGTTTGCCTGCCATTCAGTTACCCAGTGAGGGGTATCCAGGGGGCACCACGTGGAGGCGGCAGGCATTACCCCCCTGTATCAGTGCTTATAAAATAAAAAATATAAAAAGTGCAATAAAAATATAAAAGTGCAATAAATAAATAAATAAAAAAATTTTTATTATAATGTATCAGTGCTTACATTATAATAATTTTTTTTTATTTTTTATTTATTGATTTTTTTGGAAGGTAAATAATTTGCACTGTCAGTGGTGGCATATGTATATTCAATGATAAACAATCACACTATTTTTTGAAATCCTTAATTTTTCAAAAAACTCTTTAATTTCTTCAAAAAAAGTCCTTAAAAGTGCTTAATTTTTGCTCTGTTGAAAGAGTGGGACACCATCCCAAAATGTCAACTTTCGATATCATGTTAGCTTTTGAAAGACATTACCTCTTCTAAACCATCAAAAATGCCTTTCAGGTTTTGTTACATAGTAGAATTATATGACTAAATATGAAAAAAATAAATAAATAAAACTCAGAAATTGAAATAATTTCAAATTATGAAAAATCATTATAAATTGATTGATTCATTGAACTAGAAAATTCATTTGAAAAATTATGTAATTGAAAGTACAGTTTTGTACTGTAGTACATTATATAATTGTACTACAGTTTTACCATGTGGTATCGTTGTGGTTTGTGATATCTAATTATCAATATTTTTAAGCTAATTTTAAATGTTCTTGTGGATAACATTGCTATGTCAGTAATACTCCCCCTCTTTTTTTCCCTAACTTTATTATTAGGCATTGTTATAAAAGCAGACCAACAAAACAAAGTGATAAAATTTTTTTCTTCTATTTGTATTGCAGAGAAATATATTATCATTTTATTACTTTAATATTACAGAATAAAATCTAAGAAATGCACTAAACAAAGACATGTTTTACTGCTTGAATCATGCACAAAGTTGCGTTTTACTTAATAATGAAAGAAATTGCTAAATAATGGTGTGGACTATGGGTATCGACCCTGCTCAATACACCTTCTTTTACATTTGTTTTGCTTTCAAAATAGTTTGTCTCCCTCTCACATAGTGGATTGCTTTCTGAAAGGGATTCAAAGAAAAGAACTGTTCTGATAATAGATTCTGTTTAGAGATTCTTTACTCAATAAGAAAGAATACTTAACTTCCTTACTCAAATAAAAATTAGTTTTAAAGTAATTTTTTTGATTAAATCTCAGATAATCAAATTAATGATTTACAAAAACTTTAAAAACAAACATTGCTTGCAATTCCTAGGGGGGAGGGGGTTTAAACCCTGAAAACCCTATCCATGGTGCCACTGCATATGGGACACTATGGAAACGCTTTTGTCCGCAGCCCCCAGCAACAATTCCGCAGTTGCAATTCACACTACGACAGGAATGGGCAGCAATTCCCGAAGAGCTTCTTAACAACATGGTCAGAGGATGTTAATCCTGCATAGCTGTCAGAGGTGATCATATACATACTAAAGACTGGAATTTCTTTGCCAATCTTGTGTAACATTAACGTTTTGGTCGATTGTACAATTGTGTTTTAAGCCTATATTTCAATAGAGTTCCTCACTGTTCCTGTTGATTACATTTTATTTGCAAGTTGTTTACTTTCCCATATTCTTACATTTTGAGGATCCTTTGGTATGATTTTTATCGATTTTCAACACTGCTGTTCAAACTTACATTCGAAAAACCACTATGTCTTTAATTTTTGTACACTAGTGTATTTATGTGTATCATTTTTTTTGCTAATATTTTATTAAAATCTTTGTTTTTAAATGTGTGCAAAATTATTTTTATATTTACTGGGGTGAAAAATTCTAACTAAATATATTTTTTTATTTAAATATTAGGGCTTCCCCTTTTAGTCCAGAGGAGTATAGCAAGACAGATACAGTTAGTTGAAATAATAGGAAAAGGAAGATTTGGAGAAGTTTGGAGGGGACGTTGGAGAGGCCAACCTGTAGCAGTAAAGATATTTTCATCTAGAGATGAACGTTCTTGGTTTAGAGAAGTTGAAATATATCAAACAGTTATGCTAAGACATAGCAATATATTAGGATTCATTGCTGCTGATAACAAAGGTGTGTATTTCCTAGAGCTTTTTTTTAAACTCAGTTAACATAATATTTTTTATTGTAATACACAAGAAGTATTTCACCTATGTGTGTGGCGCAGCTTATCCTCTCTGGACCTTGCGCCATTAAAACTTACATTCAATTCAATTCACTTATGTGTGAACCCCTTAAATTGTGCACAAGATGCTGAAAACTTTCTAATTTAAATTGTCCACATTTTTGACAAAGTACCTTCATTTACGAGAGAAACTTGCATTCACGTTTTTTTTTCTCCTCCAATTCTAATATTTCTTCTAGCTCACTAACCCTCTCTTTGCGATGTTAAGTTTTATCAACAAACTTTAAAGTTTATAAAAGCTACTCAAAATTTTGATCCAGAACAAGTGGCCAATATAAATATTGATGAAGGCCATGTTTTCAAAGATATTCAAGAAATTAGTGGTCTATCTAGAAAACTTGAATATGTTTCTTAACAAAAAAAAATTTAAAAAATGATCGATTCTCGACTTAATCAGATTCTGGAATTCAGAAACAGTCTCAGAAAGATTTTTACAGGATGGCCAACCACCTTGAAAACCTAGAATTATCAGGGAATTTTTTTATACTGGAAAAATCGGGGAATTTTAAAGAAAACTAGAAATATTTTTCTTAGATTTTTTTTAATTTTACTAATTTAAATTATTTACTAATTTTCTTAATTTAAATTATTTTACCATCCGCTATACCGATTTTTTTTTTAGGTTACGATATTTGCTTCTGTTTTTAAAAGTAGGTTTTTTTTCTTCTAGTCTTTGGGCTGAATCCATTTATGGTTTGTACCGATGCTTTGGTGATAATTTTTTTTCTATTTTGGCAAAATAATTCAAAATGTTTTCCAATGAAATCTGAGAATTATTTTTCCTCAACCAAGTCAACCAATCACACATTTTCTTACCATCTCTATCAGCAATGTTTGTCAACAAATAGTTACAATTGTTGCATTAATGCTAATTTTATTTTAAACTTTTATAACATACCGTCGTTCGGGGCTACTTTGTGCAAATTCGAAGTCGGCATTTTTCAAGTGCTGCTATTCAGTATTATGTTTATTTCACGTTAAAAATGTGTGGAATTTGAAGATAGAAGTCTCTTCTATTACTACAAACATTTTTTCGAATTATAAAACAATCTCAGAGTGTGTTTCGTTCATCCAATGTCAACAACTTTCCGAGGACGTCGGATGTCGAAAAGTGTGCGTGGAAACTTTAGCTGTGAAATGCAAAGACGTTGATAAAACAATTGTCGTAAGTGCAAAATTTTTTATTTGTACATTAATAAACAATTATATCATGTTAGCGTTAAAAAAAAATTTAAAATTAATAACAAATAAACGGAAAATGAAAAAATAATGCACTGTGGGTCTACTTTGTGCAAAGTTTCATTCGTTTTTTTTTTTTCGACAGAAAAATTGTCAGACGTTATAAAAAAAATACCTCAAACGAGAAATTACCTTGATTACACTTTAGAAAAGTTGCTGCAATGTTTGCAAGCAGTTGCTGGTGGTATGTCGATTGCAGAAGCTTCTCGGAAGTACAAAATCCACAGAAATACTATCTCTAATAAAATTCACAAGAAACACGTGACACGTGCTGGTAAATTATTATTTTTCTTCCAAAGAATTAATCAAACGATTTAACACATAAAAATATATTTTATAGGACATCAGGTGATTTTGACAGAAACTGAAGAGCAAGTTCTGTCGTGTTCATTCAAGCATGTTATGTTCAAATTTATCAATATTATAAATGTTAATGAATATGTAATAACTATTATTTTTGAAATATCATCCGTTTCAATGTTAAAAAAAGTATATGGTTTCCTTTTGCTTAAACTCAAATTTTTTGAAATAAACATTCTTTTTAAGAAAAAAATCTTCAAAATAAATGTTTTTTTTAACGCTGAAAATTATTTTCAAACTAATATCTTTACATATCTTGATGTTTTTGTCTTTAAAAATGTCAACAATTAACTTTTTTAACAATTTTATATCAATATTTTACTAAAAACATGATTATTAAACTGAATTCCTATTGCTGCACAAAGTAGCCCCATTTGGGGGCTACTTTGTGCAAGGTATGTTTTGACTTATTATTCGTAAATATTACATACAAATAATGCCAATATTGATCAAATTCACTCGTCTGAGTCCAGTTATGAATATAATATCGATAAATTTTACTAAAGTTTGAATTAACATAGTTTTTTTACATGTCAAAGTTCAAAAACTGCGAAATCCTGCACAAAGTAGCCCCGAATGACGGTATTTTAATTGAAAAAAGGTTTTTTTTAAGAACCAACTATATGTAAACATTTAATTTTACATTTTTGTTGGTGGATATTTGATTTTTGATTCAAAATTCGACTTGTATAGTAATCACAATAACGAATATATATATGCATGAAAATATCTTCTAATACTACCATAACTCAGCTCCCTAGCTTTTAAAATAGCTATTCAACTTATAATATATTCCATTTTGCTCCTATGTTTGTCATCTGATGCATAATATAATTACATATTTTACTTATATTATTTTTATTGAAAAGTTAATAAAATAATTAATAAAATAAATTAAATGCATTTATTTTATATTTGAAAAATTATATTAAAAGGTCAATAAAGACCAAATTTTTTACTGCTCTGACTTTGATGCTTTTTCGATTGCGATATTATTATAGAGAAGTTATTGTAAAATTGAAGAGGGATATTTTTATGATATGTAAAGTAATTTTGGCGGTTATAGTTTTCCTACTATACCAAGAAACATTAACTAATTGTAAAAGAATCATTAACAGAGTGTTAATGATATTAAAAAATACAGAAATTAGAAATTTTAGTTACAGATTAAATTAGTTTTATTGCATATCCGATGTTGCTAATATTGTCTATGATAGTCATTAGTCATCATTAGAATGAACAGCAAAAAAGCAAACAGGAATGAAACATTTGTTACCTTCAAAAAAACTATTAAATTTTTAAATCCATTAACGCTAAGCAAAATACTGTAGGTAGCTTTTTGTTTTTGAAAGATCAGGCTGTATTAGAAATTAAATCTTAGTCCTTATTGAGCCAAAAGAAAAAAAAGAGATGAGTTCAAAAATCAATAAAGTGTTTCTGAATGAGCATTCTCTTGTCAGTAAGAAGACAAAAGCAGCAAGAAATAATAAATTTAGAAAAAAAAGTCTTTATTTTCTACATTTTTGTGATTAAGAAATATTTATACAATGCAAAAAAAAAATAGCTTGGGTTAAAAATATATATATATCTATACTACAGGGGCTTATTACTGTTCAGAATATTGTTGCATTAAAGATAGATTAATCTTAGATTGTATATAAATTCTCCCAAATCCCAAAATTTTATTATTGTAGAGGATATTATAGTATTCAATATTGTTAAAATCCAGAATTGATTGTCAAACATTTGTGGCATTGCAATATTCATAATTGAAGAAGTACAATATAATTTGTATTGTAACGTTTTAAAAAGTTATTGAAAGCTGTGCAAAGTTATTGAAATGTTATTGAAACCTTTAAAAGGAAATATTATGATTATATAATTTTCAAATTTGTGTTGTAGATAATGGCACTTGGACCCAATTATGGTTAATAACTGATTATCATGAAAATGGGTCTCTGTATGATTACCTCAATAAAACTACTGTGGATACTGCAGGAATGTGCAAAATGGCTTATTCCATTGCAAATGGATTGGCACATCTACATATGGAAATTCTTGGTACTCAAGGTAAATGAAAGATTTCTGTTAAATTTATTTATACGTTTGTTCATTTTATTAACTTTATTCACCTGTTCAGCATTATTTAAATTATGATAAAGCAAAGATTTTGCACAATACTTTCTGCTATAGAATTTTCTGTGTCCCTATATCTTAAACTCAAACTTGTCAATGATCACATTAAAGAATTGGATTTTTAAAAATTCTGCGGAATTCCAAAGCAATTACCGCAGAAAAAGTGATTGAGAAACAGCATAGATTTTAGTAGAATCTGTGCAAATAGAGTATGTGACCAAGTGATAAGTCTAATACGCAATTCAAAATTTTTTTTGTTTATCAGGAAACATTTTTTCATTGTGTTCAGAAGCTCCTGCAATTCAAATTTTTTTGTTTTTTTGTTTATCAGGAAACATTTTTTCATTGTGTTCAGAAGCTCCTGCAGGCACGCATTTCACAGTTGTAGGGCTGCAGGTTGAGCACTCCCACCCTAAATAAAATAAAATGTTATAATTTTAATAACTCTCTTATAATTTATCACTTTTTGTGCTTCAATAGTTTGTTTATTTTTTACATTACAGGAAAGCCAGCCATTGCTCATCGTGACCTGAAAAGTAAAAATATACTTGTAAAAAATAAAGGTTCTTGTGCTATTGCGGATTTAGGCTTAGCAGTAAGATTTGATTCCGTCTCAAACTCTGTTGACATTCCACCGAATCCGAGAGTTGGTACAAAGCGCTATTTAGCTCCAGAGGTATTAGATGAAACAATAAATACAAACCATTTTGATTCCTTTAAAAGAGCTGATATTTATGCATTTGGTTTAGTACTTTGGGAAATTGGACGTCGCTGTGATATTGGAGGTAAGCAAATTGAGCTAAATTGATTTTTATACTATGATTGAAATGCTTGCATTGACTAAATTTAATTGTAAAAATTTTATTGCTTTTAATTGTAAAAATTTTATTGCTTTTAATTGTTAAAATTTTAAGTTTTTTTGTAATTATATTTTAACCATGCGGAAAATTTTAAAATATTTTTTGTCTCGCCATTTTGATTCCAGTAAGGAATAGTTTATAACTAGAAAGTAAATAAATCCATCATTTTTTTTTTCATTCTGAACCAAATGATAAAGATTATATATAGAGAGATTTTTTTTGTTTTAAATTTTATTTGTAAAGAAAAAAAATATATGTTTATATATAATGGTAAATTATGAACAGTAAACTTTACTTCCATTTAATGTTTTGAATTAATTAAAAATAGCACCCTAAAAATGAGAAAACACTAGACAGTGCAACCTCGAAAATCCGGACTGCTGGGGGGTTTGGAAGGTCCGGATTTCCGGATTTTAGATACCTTACTTGAATTGATAGAATTATCGAAGTTTCGAATTCGCTAGGCCGATTTCGCGATTAATCACGTGTGTGTAGACCTCCGACGTCAATTTTAACATAAATATACTCTTTAAATAATAAATAAAAGACATTAAAAATCAAACTTTCGTCATTTTCCCCCGCAATCGATCGTTTAGATAACATAACATTAGCAATTAAAACTAAAAATATAGGCTTAAAACGCGAGCTGAATTTCAACTTATAACCGAAACAGATGCTTCTAGACTAGACTGCACCAGCTGATACTAATCCTTTTTTTGTTGGGGGATGAAAGAACTTGTCCCCGCTTCCTAAGCTTCAAGGTTAAGAAAGAACCAGTTTTCTTTCATCACAAGGGGGAAAAACAAGGAGATGGAAGAAATCCTCCTTCTAAGGTGATTCCCCTTCAGGAGGAGGGGGATTCCCCTTTATATTCTTTGTTATCCATACAGAGCTGATAAGAATGACTGGAATTCTCTTATCAGCTATGAGCTGTCATTCACACCCCACCTCTACCTCTTCATCTACTTCTTCATTGTTGGAGAATAGTTGTGGTTTTGCATTAAAATTTTTATTTTAAGCGATTTTTTTAAAATTTTTTCTTTTGAAAATTTTTTCTGAGGAACTGGACGTATGAGTCCGGATTTTAGAGATTTCCGGATTTCAGAAGTCCGGATTTTCGAGGTCGTACTGTATTGAAATAGATTAAAGACTCTACAATATAATAATGTAAAATTTTATTCAATTGAAACAAATTGGAGTATAGTAATTTATGCTCTTATACTGGGTTCTTTATTTTCCACAATGTTTGCCTTCAAGATAATCTTTTTCTTTTTTTTTGAAATGCAGAAAACCTCATTCACAATAATATACATTTGATATCTTGTGAAATTTATCACCTTCTCCATAACTTGATGGTATTTCTTTTTAGTCATCACAATCGAGCTGCTGGCTTGTTTTATATCCGTCGTTGAACAGCCGACCCAATTTTTGGGTATACGACTACTAAAATTCAACTTCGTAGCCTTGTAATTTTGAACCAAGGCAAGGAAACTCCTTAATCAGTACCCCCAGAGGTATTGATTTGTTATGGGAATATGCAGGACTTAGCGACTCGACAGATTTAACTTGCATCAATCACCATTTACTACATGGGGAGTCTGCGGCCGGCGGGGATCGAACCCACGAACTCTTGGACATGGGCCGAGCGCCCTACCGGCCAGACTGTCCCATGCCTTCTGCTATCTTGTTTTTCATCAAGGTATCTTTTTGGAAGGCTGAAGCAAGATTTTGATTACTGTCTCTTCAAAAATGTTACTGCTGCTGTATCCTTACCGCCCAAGTCTGCGTGATGATGTCTTTTAGACTAAATATCCAGTAGTAGAAGAAGCACCTTCTCTTTTGGGGTGTAGCTCCTGTGAAAACATTTTTTTCTTGCTCTATCGAAGATTTGCACTTCTTCTCTTTTGTGTGCAAGATACTAATCTCCTTCATAACTTTTAAGTGCGAAATCGATAACCAGTTCGTCTCATACTTACATACTTACTCATCTACAGCTCTTGTTTTGTTCAGTAAAAATTCAATACGCAAAGCTTTTTAACAGGCTTTCTCCAGTTTTTCTTTTCGAGAAGTATTTCTTCTATCTTCATCAGAATTGTCCATAGAGGTTGTTTTTTTCTCTTTTTTGTATACATTTTTATGATGAAATTTTCTTTTTAAGAGTTTTTTTTAAGACAATATTGTTTTTTTGGGTTATTGTTTTGGTCACAACAGAAAAATGTACTCTATATGATGTGCCTAGTCTATGAAAGTTATTATGCTTTTACTAAATGAATTATACCTAATGAAATTAAAAATTTAGTAATTAAATTTTCCCTAAATAAGCAGAAAATATCATAGTACATTTCAATGATTATTTTTAATTACATAATGGCATGTTTATGTTTTTTAAAAGTATCTTAAAAATTAGAACTTATTTCAACATATTTTTAGACTCATTAGAGTGATATAACTGTTTTGCAAAAGACAATATAAAATAATTCGGTATGACTTTTACTATTTTCACTACACTTACTGTACTTATTAACTTATTATTTCTTTTTATTTAGGTATACATGATGAGTATCAGCTACCCTACTATGATATGGTACCATCTGATCCTAGCATTGATGAAATGAGGAAAATTGTATGCTATGACAAATTAAGACCACCAATACCAAATAGATGGATGTCATGTGAGGTAAACCTTTTTAAGCACCACAATAAAATTATGTACAATACAATTGCATGGATATCCTGCTACACTCCAATACTGTAAATATCCTACCATATTATACATTTTGAAGTTAAAGTCTGTAACTCATACTGAATATAGAATGTTTATGGGCAATTTTTGTAAAAATTCCCCTTTCACTATACACATTTTTCAATTGATTACTCATTGTAAGTATCTCTAAATTGTTTAAGTCAAAATTCCTTTAAATCTAATTTATTAAAACAAGAATAAAACATTGAGCTGTGATAGCATAGTGGTTAAGTCATTCAGCCGTCATTGTGAGGAACTGTGGTTCAATCCTCAGCTTCAGTTTGAAGCCCACCCAGTTTTAGGTTGTCTGGGAAGTAACCAGCTTACCAGGTTGTTTTGGACAGCTAATTTTTAGATTGTTCTTTGTTAAAAATGTACATAAAAAGAAATTACATGACAAATTCTTATAATATCATGCATAACTCTTAATAGTATGTAATTTTAGGGAGAAATATCTAAGCCAATAGGTTATTAAATTCCAAAATAAAAAAATAGTCTTTAGTCAAATATCAAAATTTCTTCGAATTTGAAATCCAACAATGTGAGTTAAGACAATGTTCTAGTATGAGCTTACAACCTGATTTTCTTGAAATAAATAAATAGATTTTTAGAAAATTTCACTGTGCGGTATTCCTTCAACAAAAATTTTATTTGAAATTGAAATAAGATGTTTTAAACTTACATAATTTTAAACTAAAGACATCAACCAAAAAAATTACTAATATGATACAGTATTCATGAGTAAAAAAAAGAGTAACTCAAATGCAATTAATTTTGATGAATACAGATTCACACAATTCATACTAATGCCATATAACATTGCTCCCATCACTTCTAAAAAGTAAATTGTCATGTCTGTGGTGAGAAATGATTCATTATTTTGACAAAGCTGGGCAAATAGAAAAATATTTTTGCTATAAATAGATGAAAACATGAAACAGCAACTTATCAGAAATTAAGTTAGAACTTCACATCAACAACTTAATGCATTCTAATAAACACATTAGAAAAAAACACAGCTCTTTATATATCCTAAAAAGAAATCTTGCTTTAAAAGAGGTGAATTAATTCAAATGTTTTAGACACTACTTCTAATTTTTTTTTTGTCATTTAATAATAACTATTCTTTTAATGAATACAATGTTATTTTCATTATTTTAGGCCTTGCGAGTAATTTCTAAAGTCATGAAAGAATGTTGGTATCACAATTCTGCTGCTCGTTTAACAGCTCTTCGCATTAAAAAGACATTGGCTAATCTTGATGCTCAAGAAGAAGTGAAAATATAATTTCTTTTTGTCTTTTTAAATTCAAGATTTAAACGAAGAAAAAAAAGAAAAATTGATATAGATAAAATCTGGTGCGTAATTATGTTTATTAGACTTTATCTATTCATGATTCTTAATTAAATTTGATTTTATTCTATTTTTAATAGGATTAAGCATGAATTATACATAGTCTCATATGTTTTCTGGAATTAATCTCATCATAATTAGTAGACATCTCATGCTGTTATTCTGTAGATATTATTCACAAGACTGATTTTGATATGAATGGGGAAATATAAATTATTTATCAAAATCAGAATCATTTTAAGTCATTAATTTGAAAAATGTTTTTAGAAACATTTTTCAAACTGTTTTGCATTTTAGAAACACCCTATTTCTGGGTATATTTTAGTTGGTCTTCATGTACATTTTTGTATTTGTTTATGAATTTTATATTTGTTTATGAAAATTAGACTAAGTTGTACATTTTTATTTTGTGTGATATAATTTGATTAATGTTTTTCTGTGCAAATACAACTAATTGTGTTTTATATGATGTCATGAGAATTTCTCAATATATATTTGGTGCTCACCCTATAATCTTGCATAAGCCGTCCGAAGAGGCATGCTAAATAAGCTATACTCTTTTTGTGCTAATACTAAAATATAAAAATTTTGTATTTAAATGCAAAATTTTAATGTATATAAAAATGCGATGTATGATGATCTATACAGCAACTTATTTGTAAGTGGCTCTGACTATTTATTAAAAAACTATGATTTGGTAAATAATGCGAAAATTATTGACAAAATGTGAAGTTTTTTTCCTCCAAATATATAAGTATTATATACTTACAAAATTACATGAACTGAAAATATTTATGTATTGATTTTTAAATTGCATATCTGATGTAAGCCTATAATTTCTAATAATTTTTATTGAATTTCTGAGTGTAAATATGTAAATAAGTTTCTGACAGTCTCTTTTCTTAATATTCACTTATTCTATCAATTCAAAAGAAATATTTTTTTTAATGTTGAACTTTTTAAATTGAAGCAGCTTATACCTGCATGAAAAATTATACTTTTAAATAAAATCTATGTTAAATGCATTTGGAAATAGAATTAAGCTTAAATTGTTCCTTAATCAATTATGAATTATATAAATAACCAAACTATGATAAATTTAAATAGGCATAAAATTAATAACTTCAACTTGTGCATTTGTAAGTATCACCTTTACAAGAAAAGAATGTGCCCATTTATGAAGATACTCATTTAACATTTTTTAATACTAGCTTTAACTGTTAGTTTCAAATTTGTTGTTGGATTTAAATAGTTTTTTATAATTTTCATTGCCTTATGCCCTTTAGAAATTGTACAAATTTTTTTTATTTACTTAAATGCACATGTGTTTTAGATATTATTTCAAAAATATAGTTTTACCTTCCAAGTTCAAAGTCATAAATTCATCAGTAGGGAAGAATTCTTTTTATTTATTTATTGTTTGTTTCAACTTTTTTTTATTGTATTTTGATATTAACTATTAATTAATTTAACTATTATCTGCAAATTTAATTTCATTTTGGAGTGTAGATATTTGTTGAATTAATATAATTTATTTTTTATTGATGCATTTCTATTTTTGCTTAATATGCATAATATTCAGATTCATTTAATCATCAGTTTAACTATAGTTAATAAAATTATTTTAAAATCTATCTTTATGAATTGAACTAACTGGAATTAATTAATTCATTTTATCTGTATAACTTTATTTTCTATGTTAAATATTATATAGAAAATTGAAACTTTTACTTGTTGAATTAATGTTTCATATCATTTGTGATGAGAGGAAGATGACAAATACTAGTTTTCTGGTTAATATTTTCAACATTTAGAGTACAGTATGATAGGTAAAGGAGTAATATATCTCTAGTTTTTATTTTAATAAAGAATTACTTTTATTAACATTTTAATATGCAGTTTATTTTCATTATATTGAATGAAATTATTTTCAAGAAGAAATAAATATTGTGTCTATCAAAAAGTTCTGTCCAATTTAAAGTTTTTAACTTTAGAGATTGTGTGAAAGCTTAACTAAGTTCAACAAACCATTTCAGACTGAATTTGGAAACTGGGAATAGAATATAAATATTTTAGATGGGTGCACTTCGGTAGTTAGATAAAATAAATTGCATGATAAATTCATTTTGAGCAACTAAAGTTAAAAATAGACCCTTCTTGTATTAGATAGCAGGTGGTAAAAAGTGGGTTACCTAGCACCCTCAAACTATCACTTGTTTCTCGTCTTACAAATTTTTAAGAGAAATAAATTCACCACTGCAGCAGGAGTTAGCCATTCACTACTTGAGTTCTGTACTAGTAGAGCAAAATATTTTTCATAAATGATATTTATAAATCACTATGATATTGGCAAAGGTCATACTCGTAAGTTCCAGATATCTTAGAAATGGACTATCATTTCCAATCAAACAAATTTAATTTTTTTAAGAAAAGAAGATAATCTTACAAATTTTTGTGCCCTAAAGCACTTTTTGTGTAACTGCATAGAGCATTGTTGGTGCAAAGCATGCCAGGATTGAAACAGCGGATCATCAGTTGAAACAACCTTTTTTGGTAGAATCTTCATCAAAAAAGTTTAAATGAGATGTTTCCAAGAAATAAAAAGAAGAGTGGCATGCTCATGAAGAAGAAGAGTGCCAAAAAAATACTGAAATAGCTTGGCAATTTGTATTTGTGTGCACATTTTAAACCATTATGTCCTCAATTACTGAATTTTGTAAACATACTGAAAATCACACATCTTTGAAAGACTAGAGTAATCTCAATTCGTATGACCTTGATTTTTTTTTTCTCACTCATGTTTTCTGTTTTGCTATCACCTTTTTAAAGATAAAAAACATTTAAAAATGTTTAAAGAATTACATGACAATGCATTAAACTCCTAAAATTAATTTGCATTTTGCATCTATTATATCTGCAATTTTGAGATAAGTCATAGTAGAAAAAAGATGTTTTGTTACATGTGAATTAATTATAATTAGTGGAAGAAAAAAAACATATTACAAAATATACATCGAAAAATTTAAATGTGTACAAGTTTTTCTGAAAATTAAATTTCGATAATGATGTTATTGGAGTGAAGTATTTATTTTTCTAGTTGAACAAAATATTTACTCAATCATCATTGGAAGCTATTAATATGAAACTCTTATATAAAAAATATTCATGTGATTATTATAATTGATATAAAATATATATAGAAAAAAATATTTGCTGCTTACAGAAGTCAAATTTCTTAGCTATAATAAAAATTAGCCATAATAAAAATTCAAAGTGATGTAAATTCAATAGCTTTTGTCTAAGACCGATAAGAGCTCTAAAACTATGTCGTTTTACCTTTTTGTTTTTATTACAATATATAAATGATTTTTCAAAACATAATATTATGCAGCTTTTTATGATTGATAATTCAAAGTAATTGCTAAGAACATGAAGTTTTCATGCATAAATTAGCAATCTTAGTTCATTGTAGGAGTAGTAAATTATTGCATTTATTTATTAAAATATATTTTGAACTCTAGTTTAATTTAATAAAGTATTTTTCTTATATTTTCAACAAAAAAAAAAAGAGGGAGAGAGAGAGAGTTTGATGTTTTCCAACATCAGGAATTTTAATGCTTTAATCAAATGTAAATTTTCCATATTAAATTTACATTTCTTATTCTAATTTATTCATTAAAATGTCATTTCTAGAAAAATTTATATGTGAGTGAAATAAAAAGTTAAATTCAAAAAGTGCATTGTGTTTAATTTATATGCTTGAAATTTTCTGGACAGTTAGTCAGCTAGTTTGAAAAAATGACAGAAATTGAGTTTAAGTTTTAAAATCTTACCACAATTTTAACTAAAAACAATAAAAAGTTAAATATATCATCATTTCAAGCAAGTTATTTCACACTCTTTTTTTTAATTTTTTATTTTCAAAGTCTTAATATTTTTTTTTTTTAAATTCTATTTGACATGCATTTGTAATAAAGTTTATTATCAATTTTCCCAAGTTTCTGTAAAACTGGAGTTATAAAGTTTTGGATCAGAGCTACTCAATTATACTATACAATAAATATTATCAAAGGTATGAAATGAGAATTATGTTATTCTCTTTCACTTTACATAGGAACAGAATTTTTTGGTATATCAAATATTACTCATGTATAAACATTTTGTCCTATTGTGGTCCAAAAGTTATACCTCACCGCTGTCTGTTCTAGTCACCTGTTTCTTGGATTTTTCTTTAAACATGGTGAAAGGATTAATATAAAACAAAAAATTATTTCTTCTTCTTAGAAAAATAGATGTTTAAAAAAAAGATTAAGCTATGCATGCATTGTCTTTTTCATGTAATCTTTAACTGATCAAACAGTATTAAAACTAAAGCAGTTAATAACTGCCAAATACTCTTGTCAATTTACTTGCAACATTGAAATTGGTGCTGAGCGTAGATTGACAAATAAATATGAACAGAAAATGAGCTCCTAGAATCATTTTGGTTGTCAGCTGATGTTTTTGTTACTTATTTACCTTGGTCAGTGATTTCAATCTGAAATTCCACTCAAAAATGTTTAGAACAATATTTTATAAACCCGCAAATGCAATCAGTTTTGTATTTTCTATTACAAAAATACAGTATAACTTTCAATACCTCCAATGCATGGGAATTTAAAAAATCCTTCTTCACGCCTTTTTTCTCTTCCACTCTGCAATTTTATTAAAACACTATTGTTGTTTCTAGAATTTCTCTGACTTTCTTTTTAATCGAAATCATTATAAAACATTGTAAAAAAACTTTAATTTTATAAAAAATGCCTAAACTGAAATGAAACATGGTTCAGATTATACAACATCTTTAATATTTCATAGACTCAATTTTATTTACTGAAAATAAAAACACGACTCCTTTCATGTATGTACAGATTTTCAGAATTGTCACAATTGTCCAAAAAGTTTTCAAATCTCAAACTATAAAATAACCTTTATGACCAAAGCCCCCTGAAAAAAGCTTGCATATTGATTACGAGTAATTACAGTTTTATAGCAAACAAAACTTACTTCATTTCAGCTGAAGAAAATTTATAATTTTATTTTATTTTGAAAATTTTTTAAATGAAATTTGGCTAAAGTTTTGCTTTAAAAGAAAATTGGCTAAAGGAGGTTAAATGAATTTTGAACATTTCAGCTGTTATTATGAATGAACAAAATTTTTTATTTTGGAATGTACCAATAGATTTTTTCGAGGGGAAAAAATAAAAAATATTTTTCGAAAATTTCCAAACTTCTGGAAAGTTAGCCTGTTACTGCATATCAAATAACATGTATTGAAAAAAATCATTGGTGACCATTGTTCCAGATGTAGACTCTACTAGAAATAAAAGTTATTTTTTAATTTATGTGATACAAGTGAAAATATTGTGTTAAGTTTTATTAATTTTAGATTTTTTTTATTTTATTTTACAAATACTTGACTAGACATGACAACTGAATATTTATTTATTTCGAAGATGCGTTGGTTAAAGATTTGTGTTTATCACTTACTTTTTACATCAACAATTCTTTGATTAAATTATGATATAAAATATCTATAATAGTCACATTATTGTAAAAACTGAGGAAGTACTAATTTTGAAATTATTATAATTATTAAATTATAAACTAATTTTGAATTATAATTTTGAAATTATATTTATGTTTCTTGTAAATAAAAAAAATTTTTGATAATATTCTTTAACATTTTTATACTCTTGGTGGGTTGGTAACTATTCATAAAAATTGTGTTTGCAGAATATTAAAAATTATTCC